AAATACCCACAGGACAAAGACATCTCTGAGAGACTGCTGTTTAATCTAGCATAAAGAGGTTGGAAGCTGAAGCTAGATGTGTTCAGATGAGAAGTAAAACACATCATTTTAACAGTGAAAGTATTAAACCATTGGAACAAATTACTGGGAATATGGTGGTTTTCTTTGACACCTCTAGGTCAAACCTGGATATCTGTCTTAAAGATACACTGTCATTTAACCAAAAGTTATGGCCTTGAGACAGGATTTAGTAGGTGACATCCTTTAAACTGTGTTATGTGGGAGGTCAGATTAGATGATCACGATGAATCTGTGCAAAAGATTTCTGTCCTTGCCAGCCTCCCACATGTGTTTTTATCAGCTTTGTCTTTTCCCTTTGCAAGTGAAACAATGAGTGGGACTTTCAGTGTGGGAGCAGTTTGGCCAAAGATGGGTTTTCTAACAGATTTCTGCCTGAGTACATGTGAGTAGCATTTGAACTTTCTTTACTTTTAACCTTTTCCAAGCACTTTCACTAGTTTTTGATGCTTCTTCTCTTCCCTGCTAAACTATAGGGTTTTTTTCTGCAAAGTCCACACTGAAACCAACTACTTCTGTGACCTTTCAGCTAATTAAAGGAATATTTCATGCAGACTGGTGAATGTTCAAGATGCTCTCTCTTCTCTTGCCCCTTCTCCACCCTTTTTCCCGTGCTGTTGTTCCTTGTATCTGAAAAAGCTTCTAGATTCCAGATGGCTTTCGATCTTGCAATCAAAAATTTTGAGTGATGTTTATGCACAGCAGTACATAAATGCTGAGTAATAATATAGCTGCCAGTCAAGATGATTTAGCTCCATTCACAAGCCCCAACTCATTTAACAATGGCTTATACTTGCTTTGACTGGCTGTAATGAACAGCCTGTGAATACCATTGTCTACCATAAAATAAAAGGATGTCTTTTCTGAAACTCAGCAAGGTAGCATCTCTAATAGTTTTTGACTTTCATTTGTACTTTCAGAAATCTGGTTTTCTCTGTAAATTATCGTTTGAGTGCTATGTCTATAATTGCTTTGTTCCATCAACAAGGAATCTTACATCATTTTGATGAGTGGCGTCCTGAAAGGATGTGACACATGGAGTCAGATTTTCTTGGGCTAAGCTAAAGGTGGGTTGTTCTGTGTAAGGTCAGCCACCGTTGTATGAAAAATAAATGAACTGTAAAACAATGCTTAAAAAACAGGTGATGATTGTCATTTAAAATTCTCTAGCAGAAAACAGTTACTGTGAAAGCAGTTCAGAGTTTTTCCTGTGATGCTGCCAAGTCCACCTAATCTGTCTTAGTTTCTCCTCTTTATAATGAAATTGCCTTATCTTTGTTCCTGTAGTTCTGCATCTTGTTCTGTATCCTTAATTAATTAATTAAAAACCTTAATTTCACTGGAGTAAATGGAGAATAGCATCGTTTGTACTGCTGCTGCTGTACTGGTGAAAAACTGGCATGAGTGAGATCAAAATTCAGACCTATACATCTTTTTTCAAAGTTTGAGTTCCAAAGGTAAACTTTTCTCAAGTTTAGGTGCTTTGATTCAGCTCAGTGTAGGTTTTTGGCTTGAACCTCAACTTGGGTTTGAAACTGTGCCTATTCTTTGCTAGTTAAATGGGATGAGTTGACTGTAGTTAGCTTGATCCAATATAGCTGGTAACACATTCAGATTTTAGAAAAAGCTGGCAAGCTTGTCTTGAGTTTGTATTTGGTGAAGCTCATGACTGTCCTCTCCAGAAAGAAGCAGCAATGATAAGATAGAAGACACTGCCAGAGTTATGACCATTTGAAAAATCCAAGCAAGAATAGTGTAAGGGAGGGCTTATCTTTAAACTGATAGCAGATGCAAAGGCTCAGTACTGGCTGGTTTGTGCCTTCGTATGCAGGATGAGAGAGGGAGAAGTTAACAGATAGCTGGAGAAATACAGTAAATACCTCCCAAAGGGAAACCAAGCAAAGCAACTTCTTTTTATATTGTGGAAATGATGGTGTAAGAACCTACCTCCTTCTGTCTTGGTCTTCTGTGCTCCTGTTGCATGTGAAAGGAAAGCAGGATCATGTCTGGGGCAGTCCTTACTTAGGTGTAGCTGGCACTTTTTGGTCAATACATCCTCTTAACAAAAATATCCCCAAAAGGCCTTGCGTATCAACTCAATCTTTGGACAAAGAGGCAACAGTTTTTAAATACAGAACTTTTGTAGGTGTGTGTTATGTTTCCTAGGGAGAACAGACGCAAACCCAACTTCTAAAAATGTTCCTTTTTTATGGAGGGGTTGAGGAAGGGAAGAGATGTTGACTTTCAGATTCCTATTATTTTCTGACTATCTGATTTTCTCTCTTCTGGCTCCTTTCACATAATTATGATCCAGTTCTGCTTCCCTTGGAATTCATGGGAGCAATCCCACTGACAGCAGTGGGATGGAGGTATTTTTGGCTCTGGGCATTTTAATCCTGATGTCCTGGCAAAATTCCAATACACGTAATTATGTTCTGGAAAGCTGAATTCTACCTTTATTAATTTTATTAATTATTTGTGTTTACACAGCACCTAGAAATTCTAGTCAGTCATGATGCTAAGAACTTTACTATCATGGAAGAATTGTATGTGCCCATTGCTCTGGAATGATTTTGCCTGAAAGATGGACACATGGAAGACAGCATTCAGTTTTTGTTTGGTAGATGGAATGGAGTTCTAACTGCGAGTAAGCTTTTACAGAAAGCCATTGAGGCACATCTTCAGATTGTGTCTGTATTGTGCTATGATTTGCACTATAGAGATACCTGCTGTAGCCGGTAGTTTAGCAGTGTGGTTTTCATAGACTCATGAAATATGCACTGTGGATGTACTTATCATTGCAATTTGCTTTAAAAAAAACAACCACAAGAAAAATGAAGAAACAAAATCAAGCCCCCAAAACCCCAGATGGTGGGAGCAGGGATTATATTTTTGTTGATATGTTGCGTACTTCTGTGTTTAGATTTCTAAATAGTTACAGAAAGGAGAATGTTTTTCTGATTTCAGCAATAAAATTGGTTCTTCTATTTAATGACTAACTGCAAAGTACTGAATAGAGCTGTGGAGAAATTATTAAGGACTTTGTCAATATGAATTTTCCTTTCTCTCTCATCACAAGGATATTTCAGACTGTTAAATAAATTTAAAGTGCAAAATTTGCAGTGGCTGAGGCTGTTATGAATTGCTATCCTATTAGCAACCAGGCAACAACCATAGTAACTACCATTCTCTAGTGGTTTTTCTTGAATCTAACTAAGAGATTTTTCTTTTAAACTCATACATACACAGACACCAGGATCAATATATTGTTTTTCTAATTTTTTTTTTCAAGGCAAATACTCTATAGGTCATGATTGTGTATCACAAGGGTGCTTACTAAGCTTAAAAGGCTTAAAATAGGCCAGTGAATTCCCTCCACATGGGCAGAAGCCAGCCTGCCCTCCTGAAGCCTGGGTGACCACCTAGGAAGTGTCTTGGCATTTCTGGCCTTACCTTAACCATACTTTCAGGGAATATGATTTATAGGATGTGTTGAGCCACAACACTCAGAGAAAGTAGTAATATTTATAGTAGTAAGTTCTGTTATGCTAATCGAGCTGAATTAAGCTGAAAAATTCTGGGATTGTAAAAAATCATGGATTTGAATCATTACTAGATGATATGACCTTTTCAATGTAGCTTGTACTATTTATACCATATTTAGGTAAAAAAATTGGTGTGTGTATATATATGTGTATATATATACAAAAAAATTATTCTTTTTGTAAATGTAATGTTAGAAATGTGCATGTCACTGAGCTGGTAGCACCTGTTCTTGTGACCTGAACATCATAGGAGACTTGGAACGACATCAGTGTTGCTACGCTACAGGGGCGTGTTTCACTGCTAGAGGTGTTGCCTTTTGGTGTCATAGGGGCACTATCGGAGTAGAAAATAAAATACCCCTGGCTAAAAATTTGCTGGTTAGGAATGCAGGCATATGCTAGTAAAATCTGTATGAGGCATTTATGATTTTATCTGTATAAATATGCTTGCTTGCCTGTTGTCTCTCTGTTACTAGGGTTAAGCTTCATAAAACTTGTGTTGATATGTCTGAATATGTATCAGGCAGTTCAAGTAAGCTGTATTTAACCCTGTCAGAGCTTTGAAGGAAAAAGCAACCTCTTCTTTGTTAGCTGAGACTACTGTAACTTCTCTTCTCCTGGCAGATATGTATGTGAAATATCCCATATTTTGTCATGCCCATATCCTTGACTGAAGAATGGGTGTATGGTATGCACTGAAATCTCAACTAATAACGCAATGCAAAATTTTGCAGCTTCACTTCTTAAAAAAATAAAAAAAAGTCCAGTTATTTTAGAAAGTTCTAAAAGTGACTTTTACCAGTATACTTTCAAAGAACTGTTCCAATAATTCTAATAATATTATGCACAGTTTAAATAAAAAAGCATTTTTATTCAGATTCTCATGACTGAAGTCCTTTGAGTTATATCTTTTTACAGAAACTGCAGATCTGTGCATCTGATAATTCAATTCATGTGTCTATATGTGTGTGAGTGTGTATGTGCGTTAGAGAAAGATACCTGTAATAATGAAGTTGTCTGTATCATAACATATATGCGCACATTACTGACAGATACTTCATCCCTGGAAATGTTGAAAGCTGAATGCTGATAACATATTTATAGTACAGTATATAGTGTTTACTGGACCAAGCATTATTTTACTGCACGCCAGAGATGCTTATGTTATGTAGAAGGTATGGTCTGGATACAGTTCAGAGCTATATGCATGTGATCACAGCAAATGTATGGTCTTTTTGATCTGTTATTAAACAGAACTGGTTTTTCATTGTGTAGCCAATGGTTATTTATCTGAATATGAAGTATGAATGGAAAGCATGAGTTGTACTTATTATATCTGTGTTTCTAACTACTTCACTCTGTTCTTTTTAATTTAAGGTTGCCTTTGCCTCCTGGAGCATTCTCAGGTCTTTGGGAAAATCAGGAAACATTCCAGAAGTTATATTTCCAAAAATTTCCAGTAAGAATTACAAAATGAATTATATAAACTTTTGGTAATCCTGCAGAACTTAGTGATAGTAGATTTAAACTGGATAACATACGGAATTATCATATCTTATTTTAATGGGAGATCTTTGATATACGTGTTATAGAATTAAAAACATTTCAAGGTAGAACTTTCTTCATACATACTTTAAGCTTTTGGGCACACTGTTGTGATTTTTTTAAGATCTGAAACAGAAGAAGTAAACATCAAGCTTCTGAACATAAAAGCTGGTTTATGTCATTTGATCTAATAAAAGAGATAAGCTTCACAACCTTAGACTAGCATAGCTTCAAATGTACTACTGCTGTTGACATGCAGTCATTCTAACTTAGTATCAGTCCAAAATATACACTTGCCCACTGTGCATGTAAATACATTGGAGGCTCCTTACAGAATGAGTTATGTTTCCTTGTCAGGTGAACTATCCAAGGACCGGCTTCCTTCTTTCCTTATAGAAATAGATAGATTGGTCCTATGTGAATGTCCAAAATGGAAGGTTTGGTTCAATAAAAGTGAATGAGTGAATTGATCAGGCAAATTATTTTGTGTGTGCACTTGCATGATGATGTATGTTTGGATCCAGCAAGCAGGAATATCTTTAGGGGCAATTTGACAACTGTCATTGTATTATAACAATTCCATTCTCCTTGTGTAGGTTCAGGCAATGTCCTTCTCCAAGCTGTCAGGGGTCAAAGAAAGCAGAGTGGGAAAAAATCCAGATTCATGTGTTGTCTTCTGTTCTGTCTTAGCAAAGACTACAAAACCTTTTATGGAAAGGGAGCTGCATGGTATATTATGACATACAAATGGTGAAAAATATTAGAGAATTAAATCTCTCAGGGACCAGAAACGTGTTTCATCTGAAACAATCAGTTTTGTTTGTTGGTTTCATGGGAAATGGATGGATGTTCCTAGTACTATTTCTGAGTTTATTTTTGGTTGTATTTTGTCTAGGGATATTATGATACTATGGATGCAGGTTATATGGATGAAGATGGCTATTTATATGTCTTGTCTCGAGCTGATGATGTGATCAATGTTGCCGGACACAGAATTTCAGCAGGCGCGATTGAAGAGGTGAGCATTGCCTGATAATAAAATAGAAGAGTAAAAGATGAATAAAGAAAGGTGAGACTGAAAATCTCACAAAATCTCTTGTTTTCTTTCTGCTTTTTTTGATTGGATTTGCATTGGTACTTTTAACAAAAACATTAATTGTTTCAGGTCCTTCCTATTAAGGTGCTTTCCAGGACCATAGTAAACTTAGTCAACAATAAGCAGTTTGTATCATGGGATTGATAAAACAGGCATGATTTGACATTTGAAGGTGGAGTTAAGGGGCGCTATGGTAGCATGGGAAGCATTCCTGTAAGCTCTGATACCATATTTATTTGGGAATACATTAAGGTAACGTAGGGTCAGTATGCCAGGTAGTTTCACCAGCTACTGTAGTTTCTTAGGAGCAGAAACTTTTATTCCTAAAATACATTTTTTAGTTCACATAGACTCCCATTCAGTGCTTTTTCTTGATTTGAAGAGTTTCCTTCACAGTTTCTTGAGAGCTGTTTTGTCTCTTATTGTATGAGCAGTCCTAAATGAACAATGAAAATTTCTGGAAAAAACCCTGCTGTTAAATTGAAAGTCATTAATGTAATACCCATGCAACTCAAAAAGTTGAAAATAGTGCAGTTCATAATAGTATCTGAATTTCATGTCATTGTTCACTCACCTCTCTGGAACCGCTGTGATTGATTGCCAAGTTTCCCTGATGACATATCAATTGCTTATTCAGGGAGTATAGGAAAAGGTGTGCTGGGGGGCATGTACAAGGGAAAAATACACTTTTAAGAACTCTGAATTAAACTGTTCACTGAATCACAAACTAATCTGTTACTCATTTTTTGCTTTATAATGTCTAGTAGTCTAGTGACTATTTCTTTTAAAAGCTAGAAAACTTAGAAGAGGCAATCCTTCAAGGATCAGTCAGCCAGGGAGCTGAGCCAGTCGCTGCCCTGACTTGGCTCTATGAAGCCATAAAGGTGGCTTTCAGTCTGCTTAAACCTATTTCCCTTTGAAACCAGTTTTTTGTGTTGCTCTGCTAAAGCGCAGCAGGGAATCTCATCCCTACCCCTTACTGCCCTACTGCTCAAGGGCTGAGCTGGACGTTGTTTCTTTGCTCCAGGCTGAATCTGAAGCTAGTATAACAAATGATGAATTGAATCACCTCCTCAGCTGTATTACCTTTGTATCCATTGTCCTGAGCTCAGTGTCTCTGGTTTTTTCCCTGCTAGTTAGGTCTTTCCCCTACAAATAAAAAAGGTTTCATCACTACAAAATTCTAGAAGCTTTTCTATTCACCTTTTGAACAAAGCTAAAAAACAAGAGTGTTGTTAATGCATGCACAGCAAATTGCTAGTTAAATGGGAAAGTATTAACAAGACCACAATTAGCTCTTCATTAAGATCAGTAAATACAGATTTAGAGGTTCATTGAATTGCCATCTAATTAAGTGACAGTCACCTTGTTGAGCAAGTATATTATCTGCATTTACATTATAGCTGCATTAAAAGCTTAACAAGTTTTTCCTTAGTGCTTTGACTAAGAATTTCAGCTTCATTATGTTCCAAGCAATTAGTTTCTTTGTGTAAGGTGTCTACTAGTATCATTGGAGCTCCATCTTCACTGCAGTGTAGTAGGTGTTACTGTTTACCTTGCCAATCAGTGAATGTTAGCCATTATGGTAACCTCAGCTTGTGTTCATCCATCCATCCATCCATCCATCTCTTTTGTCTGTACATCTATGGTGTCCCTGCTTGCTTTGACTCTTTCTGAAAAAGCCCAAACCAAATCTTGCCTGTCTGAGGCAACAGACTTGAAATCGAGGAATTTAGCATGAGAAATCCCCTTCCTGATGGGGGGATTTCTGTCTGCTGCCACATTAGACATCCATCCTTGTGCCCAGTGATCGTTCTAGGAATGCCATTTTATTTTCTTGAAATTTTTCTTACTTTTAAACAATTTTTAAATGTCTAGTGCTGATTCTGTTCTTCTTTTCAGCTGTTTTACATAGTTCAATAATTTTTAAATTAGTATTTACACTTTCAGTCATTTGAAATTAGTTGTCCCAAAGTCAGAGGCATGTTGACAGGATTTTGGATAGATGAGTGAAGAAAATATTGCAGTAACTGCAATATTCCATCTTAACATAAGACTTTTATGAACAAGTGACAGACTGGAATTACACAAACAAGCTACTACAAAACAAGCTGGCAACACACAAATCTCCACTGTAGGGGTCCTGTTGATGCCTGATCGGTGATTATGATACTGATGGTAATGTCAGATTACTGTGGACCTTTTTCCTATGTTTTTGTGGAAAGCACAGTTCCTCTGGTTGTAGACCTTACTAGTCTGCTTTTCCAAAATTAATTGCATTTTCTTCTTTTTTTTTTTTTTCTCTTTCTATGGCAATCAAGTTGCTGTGGTCAGGGTGAAGAAGTCAGAGCAGGAAAGAATGAGTATTTATAGCAGGAAATGAAATGTATTATTGAGGCTCTGGACTAGAAGTGACTGAAGCTCATAGGTGTATGTGATGCATTGAAACACCATGGAGATTTGGAGTTGTGTAAAATTCATTCCTGTATGATTTGTCAGTTTGGATACAATGACTTCTGGACAAAGTAGACTGCATCTGAATTCAAGTGTACTTGTCTATATTTAGCTTCAGCATTTTTGCAGCAGGCTCTTCTGCCCTTCTAGTTCTGGGATGAGCCCAGCCAGAGGTAACTCCAGGCTGTTGCACTTGCTGTTCTAGATACAGCTCATGCACATCCCGTTTCATTACTGTGAAAAATCTACAGTTCCAAAAGGTGTGCGTAAATGGTCATGCTTTTGTACTTTGATAGAGCATGCTTCTAATATTAAGCTAAGTATCTCCTATTTGCTTTTTTGTAGCATGGGACATTTCTGGGATCATAGTTTGTGAAGTGAGTCTAGCTTCTGTCAAAGTATGCAAGAAACACTTTGTGCAGATTTACTTTGCTAAAAACTACTTGGTGTGTGTTGTAGTGACCATGGCACAGAGAACCAGTTTCTCCTTCCTAGTTTGACTACAAATCTTAAGGATGGTGAAATCTGCAATTAGGATGGGTTATTGGGGACCGTTTGAATTGTTTCTTCCACCATCATTTTCACAACCAGGTCACACAGGAGCCCCTCTTTTGTTAATTGGAACAGCAGTGATTCAGCTTTTTCTTCCTTCAGTTTTTTTTTCTCCTGTCTTCTCTGTACTTCTGTCTTTTTTCTTCATGCTCATGCCATTGTATAAGTAGCCAATGCAAATGTGATGTTCCTACTCAAAAAAAAAAAAAAAAAAAACATTTTTTTTTAAAACTTTACTTTTGTCCTTCCGATATGGTAATCCCAAGTAGTTCTGTGCTTTGTTTCTCTCTAGGCTTTTTCTCGAGTAATTTCCAAAATTAGCATGTCTGTCTCTTACCAAAACAGTTCACAACAGATATTACCACAATCCCACATACACAGTCATTTTATAATGTAACAAAGAAAAAATGGGTTTTCCCTCCAAAAAAAAAAAAAAAAAAAAAAAAGCCTTTTTTCTTAAAACTTCTTTTAGTCTTCCTTTCAGTCATCCCACTGCCTTTGATTTTGACAACACAGTATTTGAAGATCTGTTATTGGCAAATGTGTAGTCCTTGTATGCACAAATAAATTAATATGCAGAGTCACATTATGTGACCTCTGTGTAGACTTTATGTAGGGTCATGCTAGGTCCTCTTTGTGGTTGAGTACAGAGGATATGTTGAAAGCACTGTTGACAGCAAGATGCCCCAAGGGACACTGATAACTACATGAAAAGAGCCAGTTGCTTTGGAAGAGGATTCACAACTGCCGGCATCTTAAATCCAACTTTGTCCCAGACTTAGTGACAAACTTCTCAGTATGTACTGAGACATCTTGGTGACTTTTTTCCCAGGAAGTGAGAACCTCAGCTGGCTAATAGGAAAGAAAACAGAATCTCTCACTTTTTTTCCTAAAAGAGAGTTGGAGAAATTAGAGCTACTGTCCATCACTTCTATAATTGTGTAAACGTGTCGTAGGAAGGAGGGGACTCTGGTTTAATTCCCTTTCTTGTCTAAGGAGGCTGAGACCTAATGTTTCCAAGAGAGTGAGCTGAACTAGGCTGGCTGCAAGCTGAGGTTGGGCCTGTATTTGGCTTTGGTTGAAACTATGCCTTTGTGCAGCAAAGAATGAAAAAAACGGAAGGAGCCAGAGAGAATGAACCAATATGACTTTATAGCCCTGTAGTAGGAGTGCTGCTGTGGTTTTGGTCCTTACTCCACGCACTTAACTCCATGTTACTTGTAATGGTAGACTAATGTTATTTGTTCCAGCAAAGATCTCACTAACAAAACCAAAGATGTGATACTCTCCCAAAGCTGTAAGGAAATCACCTTTGCTTTGTTCTATATTTGTACCTTGTGCTGCCATAGGTTTTATTTCTTATGTTTGTTTGAAAACTACACCCAAGTGTGTATGAAAGTATGTGCATCTGCAACATGTGTAATTGGAATCCTGAGGTGTACTGACTAAATACTTTTTGCTGTCAAAACGTAAGAAATAAGTCTATTTTTTATGTCCATGCCTATGGAATTTTTTCACTGAAATATTCAATTATTCAGTTTAGTTTTGTTTTCTGTTCCTCAGTGTCTTCTCTTCCATCACGCTGTGGCAGACTGTGCTGTTGTGGGCCAGGAGGATCCCTTAAAAGGACATGTTCCATTTGCACTGTGTGTACTGAGAGAAGGTGAGAGCTCGCTGCTACTGATGTTACTAAGACTTGCAAAAGTCCCAGAAAGGTTAAAGGATGTGAACTTCTTCACTAGATATAAAGACAGAAGAGGAGAAGATTTTGGAAGAGATTGTTGAGCGAGTTAGAACTAACATTGGTCCAGTAGCAGCTTTCCAGAAGGGGGTGTTTGTGAAACAGCTACCCAAAACACGCTCTGGCAAGATACCACGTTCAGCTCTTTCTGCACTTGTCAGTGGAAAGCCATATAAGGTAAGTTGGAGATGTATGCTTTAATGAATGAGGCACACCTGTGCATCCAGGCACAACATCATGGTTTCGATTCTCTAGACCATTGTGCAACTGGTCCATGACTTCAGGTAGTACATTATATTGTATTTGTACTGTAGCTTACCCAAAAGATTTTCATGTTCCAGAGCTTTCCAGATGCTTTTTCTTGATTGCTTTTGAAGGCTAGATTTAGAAGATTCTCTGAATTAAATTCCGTTTTACTGTTGAAGGACGGCAATCTACTATCACATGCTTCTGTGTATTCTTCCTTTTCAGATAACACCGACCATTGAAGATGCTGGCGTGTTTAAACACATTGAAGAAGTGCTAAAGAAAAATTAAATGGGATAATACCTTGATAACAAACGTGTCAGTTACTGAAGTATACAAAGAGACTTTCTGTTAGGAAATACCACATTTTAAAAACTAGTAATGATTTGGGACTAAATTTTTTTGCTTCAGAAATGTTACTGTCTTCTCTACCATATTGTCATAGCCAACGAAGCATACTAAAGTCTCTGCATGTTGTCATTATATGCTGGATATTAAGATTGCTAAGAATTGTAAATAGAATTCATACATGTCTATAGCCATAAAGGGAAGGAGTCACTAGATTATCGATCTCATATGATGCCATGTTAACCTTACATTTCAATCCGTTATTGTATAATGTGACCAGTAACTTGAGTTTGGCTAAAACAGCTTACAAAAGGTAAGTCATGAACTGAGGACAGCAATAAATAGGAATTCTAATATGAAAATTATTGCAGACATAAATTGTCTTCACTTGTAAATTATGAGCCTTTATGTCTTTTAAATTTTTATAAATTTTTAAATTAGTTTTCTTGATTCCACTGATTTTTTTTTTTCCTAAGTCTTTCTGCTATAAATTAGATTCCTATAATTTTTTTACTCAACAACTTTCTGAAGTGTCTTTTTTGTAGAAGGAAAGATAATTTCTCAGTTTCAAATCTGTGAAAATCTTGCTTTATCTGTAGTAATATTCAATAAAACCCATGTATTTTAAATAAAGGCAGGCATTTACCCTTTGCATTTTCTGATAATTTTGTTGTTTTGGTTTGTATCACTTACGATAAGGATAACCAGAATGTGCTTTTGCTGACATAATTAGACATTTCAGGCTCACTGAGATAGGCATAACCAAGAAATTTAGCAAATACAAATACTAGGTAGCCCACTCTTGACTTTATAGGCCAATACAAAATACTTCCAGGGTTCTCAACAAACCAGGGGATGAAGGATACACTCTCTACATGTGTTACTTCTCACGCTGCATGTTTTTAATTGAACAATAAATGTAAAAATCCTTTTTAAAATATACATTCACAAAAAAGTTTAAAAGCAGAGAAGTTACTCAAAGTCGGCAATCCTTTCCAGAGGAAGAAACAGTAAGCAATATGCAAATTCAGATGATGTTGGTATAAAAGAGAGGTTCCCTACTTAGGCTAAACTAAGGTAGAAGTTAAGTCTAGACATATTTTGCTATGACAGTGTGTCCTCAAAAGAGTCCAGAAATACTGTTATCTCCTATTGGGTAGAGGTAAGGATGATAGCCCTCTTAAAGTGATAAAATAAAGCAGCAGATTGATGTAGGAGCTAAAAGGTGATAGATAGCTGCTAATTAACATGAGCCATACCCTGATGTTGCCTTCTGCCTGTGACCTTTTTGTAGAGTCAATGAGCTCTACCAGTTACATAGGAAGTGAATAAAATGTCCCTGTGTTTTTTCACTAGGGACTGCATGCAGCTGAGCCAACTGTGTTGAAGCAGGTCATAGAGTCATATAATAAAACAGCCTAGTTTAAATCTGTGCTGTACTTGTTTTTTGCCAGATAATTGCATAAGGTAGCCACCCTGCTCAGCTATTTGATTTAGCTGAAAATCACAATCTGAACAGGGAGTAAAAGCATTTAAAGACTGAGTAAAGGCTAATGATGCTCTGTGTTAGATACGCTAACTATAGAGGTTAGTGATTTATTTGTGGGAGTAATTTTGCTCCTCAGAGATGTCCTGTTAACTTTCTTGAAGTACTTCTTATATAAGTTCAAGTTAGTTGAAGACATTATTTTTTTCTGGATGTGTTATTCAAGTACCAAGGCTTTAACAGGAAGCCCATGCCAAATAATGGAGTGCCTTGTAGAGACTGCTGCGTATTTTTCGTTTTCACAATGCTATGACTTTGCAACCTATGCTGAACAGTTACAGGGCAAGAGAGAGATCTTGGGAGTTGTCACTGATGTTTTTGTTTGTTTTTTTTTACATCAGTGAGAAACTACAAGGGTCTTATCACAGAGAAACTGTGGCACATTCACGAGGCACATGGATGCTTTTTTTATACGATGAAAGCTGAGAAGTTGTGTATGTTTGCTGTAGTTATCCCAGCTGCAACCATCATGGTGTAATTGCAAAAGCAGGGGAGGGGAACTAATTAGTGAGAGCACAAGCCCTCTAGTAAAGATACTGCAATAGGATGTAAGAGAAGAGAATTAATTTCCTAGATCTTGTATAGTGTTCCCAATGACATCTCATGTTCCTATACCAGTTTCTCCATTTGTAAGGAAAGGTAACCTGTTTTCTAATTTGGGGCTCTTCTTTTAAGGAAGAAAGAATTAATCTAAGACTTAAAAAAAAAAAAAAAAAAAAAACAAACCAAAAAAAACAACAAAACAAAACAAACCCAAAAACATTACTAATGGATATTTAGGCACTTACCTTTCTGAGGGGCTATTAGTATTAGTAGCTCATATAGTATTGACAAGAAACAATTATCCAACAGAAATGTTTGTAATAACTTCTGCTTTCTGAGGAAGCCTGAGCGTGTTTTGGTTTTTTTTTTTAATTTTTGTTTTTTTATTCTTTTTTTTTTTATTTTCTGTTTTGGTGGGAAGCATTTAAGATCAAGACTGGGATAAAACAGAGGAGCAGCATGGGCGAGTGTACTCACTCTGCTACCACCCTATTACTGTGGAGGATTCCAGAAATGCCAAATGTCTCATTCACCAGCATTCAGAAAACCCAGATGAAGAAAGCCACATTATTGCAGCAGTACAATATGCAAAAATAGTTGTCACAAGGGCATTGCTTTTGTTTTCCAGAGGAGCCTTTTGCTGAGGAACTGTGACTGCAGAATTCTTTGTCTACAGCTTTAGCTTTGTGCCGAGCTGGAGAAGGGGACAAGGAGTAGTCAGTCTTGTGCACGGCTCTGGTGCTGCCCAGCAACCTGGTTACACCGTCAAGGAATAACAAGCCCATTTAACAAGTGGTAGGAGAGCACTGATTTGAATTTTGTTTTTAGAGAGAAGCAGCATGTGGGTAGATTTGAATGGTCAGGGAATTATTGAAACTTGGCTGGAAGAGGTTGATGTAATAATTATTGCCAGTGTGCTGAAAGGGTCGGAGCCAACTAGGCAACATTTAGCATAGCCACAATTTCTAGCTGTTGAGAATAGAGCTTCAGCTCATATGGAGGAAACAGACATGTACTAGGAGATTTTATATGTTAGCCTTAGATCAAAACTGAAGTCACAATAATACTATTTTAAAAAATAGATTTTTAATTTTTCTGGTCTGTTTTCTTCCACTATGGAAATAAATAATTTGGGGGTGCCGTACTCCTGGGGCAGGATACCTGCAGCTTGGTTGCAAAATCTTGCTCATTCTTTTCCCCAACACATCTCATTCCCCTCTGCCCCCTGAATTTGAGCATCAGCTGTGACAATGCGGGCTGAAATGGAAATTTTGTAACACGGGAGCTGGCGGTTACGAGGGGAAGTGTATTCAAATGATACTGCAACCACTGGAAACGGTGTTTGCATTGCTTTACTTTGTGACATTATGGACTAAAATAATCCAAAAGGAGCTTGAGGGAGGAGAAGGAGCATCAGCAACGATGTCGGTTAAAGCCCGAGGAACTGTACATAAAAAAGAGCCATGTCTTCATACAGTTGTGTGCTAACCCAAGGCATCGTATCGTACCCATCAGCAAGTTCAGTGCTCCCTCTCGTGGCAGATTCTGACCAGTAAATCCATCGTAACTCATACCTGTTAGTGGCAAAACGTGCTTATGCTTAGCTATGAGAAGTATCTGGCATCCAACTATTGTAATGCTACTACATACCAAGCTTAATAGACTTATAAACACAAGTAGCACTGAATTCTTTTTTATTGACATTGGGGGAGAAAAATCTTTCACCATCTGATTGACTGAAGTTTGCCAAATGAAAATAGACAAAACAAATGTTTATGTACGTGCAAACATTGCAGATCAAACTGCTAAAAGAAATAACTAAAAGACAGGTCTTGAGCTAAGATCAAGCAGCAGAAAAATAGCAAATAGGTAAATGACTATTAAGTAGGTCTTACTTTGAAACTTCCCATTTAAACAAAGAATAAACAACAATAACACCACCAAATAAAGCCACAGCAGGTAATAGTTGCTCTTCTAAACTTTTGTACACTATATATTAATCACTCTGTCTTTCAGTTATTTCCTCTGATAAAACTGACTTCTGTGAAGTCTCAGCAAGGCCATCTTGGCTAAAAGCATAACGTTAGATAGGAGCCTGTCTAATGCCCTGTTATAATGAAGAAATGGTGGGGTTTGGCTTCTCTTTTCTTTCATTGTCTTTGTTGAATATATCTGGAAACGAGAACCTGATTCTATGCAAATACTAGATTTAATTTTCCAATGCTGGCTGGTGTCTGAAGATCCTGGAACGAAAAGGTGGCTCTTGGTAAAGCAAGATTCTTCTTGGTCCGCAGGTAACATAGAAGAAAGTTTTTGGTTTTTGTATAAATCATGTTTTATTAAATTGCTTTTGTTTTTTTTTGTAAACAGTTCTTCTGGGTTTATTTGTTAAGAGGTGAGCCATCATGGTGCTTCTCTATAGATATCTGACATTTCCATTTTGTCTTTAGAGGTCCATTTTGGCTCCAGTTCCAGGTTATGTCATTCTATTATACATCATCAGAGGCAGGTGTTCAACTTTAAATATTGACAGATTTTCTCAGTAGGAACATGTTGAAGCTTCTAACTCTGCTAAACATATTCATTTGACTGTTACAATCCAAAAACTGTAAAAATGGTGGAATGGAAAGATACAAACAGTATTATTGACACTGTATTGTCAAATGTTTGCACTGAGACCCCATGTACCATAGATTTTATTTTTAAAAAATCATATTTATATCCATTTACATAAGACTTACACATTTTAAAAGAAATACATACACAGTAAATACGTAAATGTCTAGTATTTTACAATAAAACAGATGGAACAATGTAAAAATGAGTGGCTTCATTTGATAAAAGCTTTGGATGTGCACTACTGCCAAATTTCTGATGACAGAGATGCTGAGAGGAAGGGGGGAGGTTGTTTTGTTTTTCTTTCTT